AACATCAGCACCAGCTGAGGATCTCTCCTGATATTTTTTAGGCACTTGTAAGATGTCAATGAAATGTCAAAAGTGGTTACTGATGCACTGCCCTCCTAATGGAAGAGGTGTGTGTTGTTTTGAGCAATTTACTATAAAAATAATGTGTTTAAACGTGCAATAGAATGTTATTTCCTCAGTCTCTTGGTGAATATTGTTATATACACTGTCCAATCCTTAAATCCAGGGTAGTTAAAACAAAAAGCAATGTATTTACAGATTTTGATTACATTTCAGGAAGCATAATTCACTTAGACGCTCTGAAAAAAACAAAGTCATTTCCCTGATGGTATGTAATATACTGACTGTATGGAGTGATCAGGGAAGTCAGCAGACTTAAAATAATACATTTTATCAGATGCTTGCTAAAGAAATGTTTTAGTAGTAATGCACTGTAAAGAGACAGTACCAATTCACTTCTAGAAAAGTCAGATTTTTAGTCAATGTAGTGCTTTGAGCACTAAACCAGTACCTAACACATTTGCCTTGGCTTATGGTGTGTATGTATATATACAATACCTGACAACAAATGCTATTTTAAAATAGAAATAACAGGGTTTTATGCAATAACCTAAAGCACAGTTTGTCCTGCAAACCCTTATCATAATGAAGTACATTTGGGACAATTAAAAAACATTAATTTGCAGCAAATGGCTGTGAATCATAAACAGAGGCCTTCTACTTAATCTAGGAAAGGTTATTTTGTAGTTTCTAAGGTTAACATCAAATTTATTAATGTGTCCAAGACGTATTTAATCTGAAAAAGCAGTACATTATAAAGATCAAAGCATAAGAAGTAGGTAACAATTATACCTTTAATTAAAATTATTTAAAAACTCATATTTCATACACAATTGCATGGTTTTAATCTCAAAAAAATGAAAAATTCCAATAATATTTTTGTGTGTAACGAAGAGGCCTAGAAAGGTACCAGAGGTCCCTTTTACAGAGACAAGATTGCTGTCTTCAATGTGTTGCTGCGAGCTCAAGTTGATACTCTCCAAATACTCCATTCAGCCCAGCCTATGTTGTACATTGGTTATTACTGCATAGGTTGCACTAAACTATCTGTTCCTGCATAGCTACTCTTGCTATATTTGCTTGGGCAAAGGTGCCTGATTCCTAGTGGCACAGCCTTGAGCTTGAGCACTATATTAGTATGAGCTTCCCATTCTAAACTTTCAATGGTATATTTGAGAAAAATAATCTTATCCTGATTAAATCGGCCAGGTTGAGCTAGATGCAGCTGTACTGTTGATGGTGAGGTACAGGTAAGTGCATGTTGGTGATTAGAGGTATTTGGGAGGGTAGAGAAAGGAACAAGAAACATGTTAGAGATCCCTTCTTCCTCCTGATAAACCTCTGGCAGTATTCCATCAAGAAGCTCAGGTGGCTATTGGGGTTACAAATTAAATAAAATTTCTTAAAGCACGTATGAACCAAGGCAAAAGATGGCAGTGGTAATTCCAGCAGCTCCTTATCTGCATGTCCCTCCCAAGAACCATTTGACAGGGTTGTTGCCACCATGCTTCATCTGACAGGCAGGCAGAAATGGGTCTGGCCACCAGGAAAGAAACAGGCACAAGGGGAACAGGAGCAGCCAGTGCATGTTCTAGGGAGAATGAGCTTGATCACAAGGGTCCAGTTTGGGGATGAGCCTGGGAAAGAAGGCAACACCAGAGCAGGAGATGCCAGAGAAATGACTAATACTACTGTTGTCCTTGTGGAGGGATGTAAAGAGGAGATATCCCAGCAATGACCAGTGAAGTAATTTGTTATGGATGGCATTACATGTGAAAATTATCTGTAGTAATTCCATTTGAAAGTGGACATTTCCCCCCTCCCCTCTTTTCCATGAATCACTCAAAATGGATTCCAATCCAATTGGGAAAGAAAATGAAACAAACCTCTGATGACCTGGTGCTGTTAATCTGGCATTGATAATTTGAAAGAAATTGAAATTGCATTGGAAATGTAAAAGTAATCTACATTGGAATTACAAACCCAGTAGGGATGACTCTATACTACAGCACATGATACTCTTTTTGTAATTGTCATGTGGGTAAAATGTATTTTTAAAGCATTAACATAGGCAAGCTAGATTTAAACCAGCAGTTCTTGGCCCTCTGGTATCCTGTTGGGGGAATTAGGGGAGGAAAGGGAGAAAACACATGGAAAAGGTGGGTTTGCTCTAGATAAGTCTCTGCATCCTGCTTCACAATCTTCTTGATATTTGCCTCAATCTCTCCTCTTATTCTATATAGAGTTGTGAACCATTTCTACACCATCAAGAAATAGGTGCTTTGGCATATATTTTCAAAGGGAAATCTCAGGATGATTGGAAGGATGACAGCAACTGTCTTTGCAGCTCACAGGCCCTGAGATTTCTGCCTGTCTAGGCAATGAAATGCCTCCTTCACAGAAATAGTGAGACTTTAACAAGCACAGAAAATAGCTTCCCTTTTTCTAGCAGATGAATACTTTCTTAGGCTGGTTACATTCCGACTATTACAAGCATGATGCCTCAGAAATTACAATTCCCACTTACTCTTTCAGCATGGGGAGTACCATGATTTTTTTTTTTTTAATATTTAGAACTGTCTTTGCTGATAGTGTATTTAGCTGCAACCTCCGAGCATGTTATGTATAGTTGTGAAATAAAAATACACTGTTCTGCCAGAAGTTGATATGTATCAGCTTGTGTCATGCCACAGTACTGATTTTGCCCTTTTGTCTTTTTGCAAAAAACCTTTCTTTTCCTGGACAAGGCAGTTCCTTAAAGCCTTTTGAGAGTGACCCTAAACTCAGCTGGAAAAGGGAAAAGCCTCATGTCTGACTGAAAGAGGTAAATTTTAGGCACGTCTAATCAGCACTGGGATTATGGAAGAGGTGGGGAGGAGCAGAAGACAGAAATGGAGAGAGGAAGCACAGGCTGGACAGACAGCACGGATTACCTGCAGCAGAAAGGGCTTTTGGCAGGTGTTAACAGACTCCTGCCCACAGATCTGGAGTTGGCTACACATCCACCACTATACATTAGATCCTTCTCCCTGTGTCATGGTCTTACACAGGTTCAGCATGGGTGTAAACCACTCTGGAAAGCCAAGCAGCCAGGCCTGGTGCAATTTGGTCAAACCCCATTCAGAGAACCAAGGTACCTTAACACCCACTTCCACAACCAAACAGACTATGCCTATTGCTCATTTACTTTTGTATTTGTTTGCTTGTTTTACATTGCTTTGGTTTGTTATTAAACATATTTATTTCCAGGCATCTGCGACACCTACAACAACATTTACGCAACAGAGTACTGTTTATTTGGGGTGATTTATTCCTAAAGCAAGCTTCTGTGTGATATTTTGGGAAAGAAGGAAGAAGAAATTGTACCCAAAGCCCCTCCAAGTATTGAACTCACTTAAAATCACATAAAAATATTCACAAAAGCACTCTGTATGAAGCATCATGCTCCCATCGCTGCATCCTATTCTCCTTGCAAGCCACAATGTGTAGTAACTGGGTGTAGATGTCCAAGGTGTCTCCAGTTTACCTGGCTTGCATGTGCTCTGCCACAGTGGCAGCAGATGTTCCACCTTCTATCACATGAATAAGTTTAAGCTTCATCTTATACAGTGTAATAATTTTTTGCAGTTTACTTTCACAGTGTCACCTCATAATTGATAGACTAATACTAAATCTGGTTTCTGTTAAGATTGGAAGTAATGATATCCTTTCATCTGCATTTGTGTGACATCCAGTGGCTGGATGGGTCAATCACAGGCTCCCATTTCTGGTGAAAGGTGTAGAAATGGCTCACAACTCCGGTTAGAACATGAAAGCTGCTTTCCCACTGTTCACTGATGTGAACTTACCTCCTCAGTGCTCCCGATGGGCATTGAATAAACAATACATCATCCTTGTCAGAAATGAGTAATTTCTGTTTTCCTGCATTTAACTGTTGACTGCACCATGACTGTTAGGAGTCATCAATTCTGTCAGAAGCAGTACTGAGATAGAAGCCAAATTTTGATTAAAACCTTTGAAATATCCAAAATATCCAAACATAGTAAGATTGACTATACCACATAATATTGAATTAGGCTTCTAAAAGGTTGTTCAAATTGGAAGATCTAGAACTCCAGTCTGGTGTTTGAGATACTTTAATTTCAGGCAGTTAGTTGGTGGCAGTTGCGCAAATTATGTTCTTTTCCACCACCATAATGACAATGACTTGACAGCGGCACCACTCTCAACATTTGTATTTTATCCATTTTCTTCTTCTTCCACACAGTTAATGAATTAGTAACAATTTTGTTTATCACACACTCATACAAAAACCACAGTTATCCCAGAGCATTTTTTGCACTCTTCCTATAAGTAGCATCTACTAATGTAGGAAAAAGACAAGAATGTATGTTTCTTTGCTTTTCCAGTCTGCTTTACACTGTCCACAAACCTGCTTCATAAAAAATCCAGCTAATTTCTTGTGTGTGCAGGCTTTTTATATAGCAAAAGGAAAAATACAGTATTTTTTAAAAATATTTTTTAATCTCATAAAACTTAACAGAGAAATTGAGCACTTATGTCTAGTGTCTGAAATGACTCTGAAATTGTGTTTTCAAACTGACTAAATTTCAGGCTTAATATTTATTACTGGTAAACTACTATAGGGATGTAAAAATATCATTTTTGCCAATAAGTTTCCTGTTAAGATAAATAAATTGGACACACATACAAAAAAGACTGTGCAGGCCTGGGTACTGCATACAAGACAAATGTTACCAGCAGAGACAGGAAAACAGCAGCTGTGCACCATTCCTGGACACAAAGTCCTCAGGAGTCACGAGGTTAGCACAGGATCTGTTTTTTCATGCCTGGTTTTGCTGACTACAGAGTCACTTAGTCAACGATAATAATCAGAATAAAAGTCCTCTCCTAAAGTTAGACTAGTTTTATGCTAATCTATGGCAAGGAAAAGCAAGTCAAATATGTCAGAATTCTATCTAGAAGAAAACAAAGATCAGATATATGAAAATGCCCTTGCTGAGATCCAGTCCTTTGAGCTGCCTCTTGGAACCACCCTAAGGTATGTATTTTTAGATAATAATATATTGTTCATGATGGATTTGTTCCATTATATAGCTCTTCTTTCAGCCAGTCCAATATTAGCAACTTTCTTTTCCTGACCCTGAAATCTGTAGGAAAGTTGAATTTAATTTCAATGTGCTTGGCCCTAAATGAAAAAATACAAATTAAGGTCACCTACTCAGCTCTTTCTTTTCACCGGGACAAAGCTATCTGTTACTGAAGGCTGGCTGCTGATTCTCTGTGAAGAAATAAATTACTCTTAAGCATGAAAACAAGGGGAAATTTGTTCTTTTGTATAACCGTTTTTAGCTTGATGTTAACAGCTACAAGTTTAAAGAATTGCTTCTTATTCTTAGATTTGTAATAAATGCAACTTCTTTTGAATCACTAAAGCCTCAACTACTTAAGGTTTTACTGTTGATATTCCTAACTATCTGAAGATTTTCATATTTTTTCCATTTGCAGCTTATGGAAACTGTTTAATGGTAGAAGCGCAACTGAAAAAAATTTCCTCTGCATATTCATCCCTACAAAAAAGTAATACATAAAAGATTATGATGCTATGTGTTTAAGTATATTGTCAGTATCTGTAGAAGAGTTTTAAAAATAGCCTGCCTGGCACTGTAGGTGTCAGGTTGCAGTGACTATCAGGCTAAAGAAAGAAAATTTAATTTACCCCGAAAAATGTGTCAATCTATTACTTCAGTAATTTGGTGATGGAAAAAATAAAAAAGAACTGTGGGAAGATTGTTACTACATTTGAGTGATTTCTTGAAGGAAACACGACTGCAGTGGTAGCCTGTAGGATTTTTCCTGTTTTCTTTCTGCAGCATGCACTTTGTAGGAACTTGTCTACATTTGGAGTAGTCCTTGTTGATTTAGTAGGTGTGATCAACAAATTCATCTGAATCAACACTGAATATGATAAAACCACAAGCTTAGACAAGCTTGTGCAGAGTCCTTGGTGCCATTTATTAACTAGCATCCAGGTGTAGTTGCAGGAGATATAATGTTTGATTACAATAACTAGAATGGTACCAAACACAATCGCAGCTGGCTGTTGTCTAGACTTTGATGCATTCACAGTTGTAAACTGCTGTCAGTTCCTCACTGGAAAAGTAACTAAACATCACCCTGAAGTTTTACACTTCAGGCCTATTTCTTTATGGTTGGCTTCCCACTTGTGTGCAGGTAACTTTGCCCAGAAAGCAGGTGTATCCTGTCTCCTGAGCATGCAAAAACCAAGGACTAGCTCATCTTTGGCCACAAACCACAAAATGTATAATTTAAATAGAAAATGGGCTATTCCTCCTTCATTGAAAAACGAAGCTTTGCTGTACACACGCTCCAGGGCACTAGGAAACAATATGACAGTTTCCAGTGAAACACAGCAAGCTAATACATAGAAAAGGGCACTTTTTTGTTGTTCTGTTTTTACCCCGACCCTCCAAATTTCTGAAGAAAGGGAGGAAACAAGTCGGTGACCGAACTTGAATGCAGAAACCCCTGCAGAGCCCCCGTGTCGGTACTCCGCGCCCGCCCCGCCGTCTCCCTGCTGGGACTAGCCGCGTGTACATCAGCGGGGGCAGTTAAAAGTAAAACAAAACAAATAATTTTAAAAGTCCCCAAACCACCCCAGGAAACAAACCAGAACTAGCCCAGAGGAAAAGGCCCGTTTCGCCCCTGTAAGCCTCCAAGGCGTCTCTGCAGCGCGGTGCAAAAGGGCGCAGGAAGGGCGGCGGGTCCGTCCCTAGCGCAGCCGGGACAGGGGTGGGATTTCGGGTGTCCCTCTTCTGTCACAGGGCGCTGAGCGGGGCAGAGCTGGTGGCTCCTGGCAGGGGCAGCTGCCCGCAGTCTCTACCGGACACTGCCGCCCCGAATGCCCAGGGGACGAAAGGGCTTCACCGGGCTTCCAGCGCGGCCCCGGCGCAGCCTGTCCCCTGAACAAGGGCCGCGGGGCACGGATGAGCTGGGGC